AGTAGGGTAGGTCCCAAAATATAGATTTCTTCTTTCACATGGGTGCGTGTCCCTCAGCGTCATTCGAAACAGCTAATCCGCCGGGACCCTTTTCAAAGATTACATGTAAATCATTGACCATAGCAAGTACGTGATCACCGGTACGCATGGCGGGCTTCTTCCGGTGATCTGCCTCGCCTTTGAAATGCTTGCCTTTCTTTCGACATTGATGGTTGGTCGGAAGAAATCAACGATGGCCCAGGTACACATTCTTCCTGCATTTGTCTAGGTATATACTTTCAATGTCATCTAAACAGTGCGTGCATGCGTGGTATCCTTTGTTTGTCTGTCCTGAAAGGTTACTGAGAGCGGGCCAATCATTGATGGTCACGAACATCAACGCCTTTAGGTTAAATTCCTCCTGTCTATGCTCATCCCACGTACGTACACTGTTTCCATTCCACAGCTGTAAAAGTTCTTCAACTAATGGCCTTAGGTACACATCAATGTCGTTGCCGGATTGCTTATGGCCTTGGATGAGAACTGGCATCATAATGAACTTCCGCTTCATGCACATCCAAGGAGGAAGGTTATACATACATAGAGTCACGGGCCAGGTGTTGTGATTGCTGCTCTGCTCCCTAAAAGGATTAATGCCATCCGCGCTTAAAGCAAACCATACGTTCTTTGGGTCCTTTGCAAACTCGTCCCAGTGCTTTCTCTCGATTTTTCTCCACTGTGACCCGTCAGCGGCTGCTCTCAACTTTCCGTCTTTCTTACGGTCCTCACTGTGTCATCGCATCAACTTGGCATGCTCTTCGTTTCTGAACAGACGTTTCAACCGTGGTATTATAGGAGCATACCACATCACCTTCGCAGGAACCCTCTTCCTGGGGGCTCGCCGTCAACATCACCAGGGTCATCTCGTCTGATCTTATACCGCAATGCACCGCATACCGGGCATGCATTCAGATCCTTGTATGCATCGCGGTAGAGGATGCAGTCATTAGGGCGTGCATGTATCTTCTCCACCTCCAATCCTAGAGGGCATATGACCTTCTTTGCTGCGTATGTACTGTCGGGCAATTCGTTATCCTTTGGAAGCTTCTTCTTCAATATTTTCAGTAGCTTCTCAAATCCTTTTTCAGCCACAGCATTCTCTGCCTTCCACTGCAACAATTCCAATATGGCACCGAGCTTTGTGTTGCCATCTTCGCAATTGGGGTACACCACTTTTTTGTGATCCTCTAACATGCGATCGAACTTCAGCTTCTCCTTTTGACTTTCGCATTGCGTCCTTGCATCGACAATGACCCGGCGGAGATCATCATCATCGGGCACATCGTCTGTTTTCTCTTAATCTTCAGCAGCTTCACCCGTTGCAGCATCATTGGGCACATCATCTGGTTCCTCTTGATCTTCACCAGCTCCCCCCGTTGCAGCATCACCGTATTCAGGAGGCACATAGTTGTCATCGTACTCTTGTTCTTCGCCGTCTTTCATCATAACCCCTATTTCTTCGTGCCTCGTCCAAACATTATAGTGTGGCATGAAACCCTTGTAAAGCAGGTGGGAGTGAAGGATTTTCCGGTTAGAGTAAGACCTCGTATTCCCACATTCAGTGCATAGACAACACATAAAACTATTCTGCTTGTTTGCCTCAGCCGCATCGAGAAACTCATGCACGCTCTTAATGTACTCGGAGGTGTGTCTGTCACCGTACATCCATTGCCGATTCATCTGCGTGCATTATATATAATTAAGTGTCCAAATTAATAGAAGTTCATCATCACATTAAAACCAAAGTACATACATAGTTCTCATCTAACAACATATAGCTCTCCAGAGCATCTAATTAATTAAACCATACATTGAAACTATGTAAAACATTTCAATGCGAAAACAAATGCGATCATAATCGCAACCAAGGTAACAATTGATCCAACGACATAATGATACCAATCCTCGGTATGAATGACATATTTTCTAATCTTTCTAATCTTCAAGCGCATTGTATCCATCTTGATCTTGTGATCATCGACGACACATCCGCAACATGCAACTCCAATATCATCTTTTCCTCCTCATTTTTTTTATTTTTTCCTTCAACAAATTGTTTTCTTCTTCAACTAAATTTAACCTCTTGACAATAGGGTCGGTTGGAATTTCCGATTCACATACATCCTACATAAATAAAATCTATGTCACGTTGGTCGGCATAATTTTCATAAACAATAAATGAACCAATAGTTATAAAGATAATATATATAACACATCCGAATCATAGACAGGACGAGGGCCGACGGGGGCGGATACCAAAACCATCGCACTATATAAGATGCAATAATAAAAATAAGAAAATAATACAAGTATCTATGTAAACATACAAGTAAGAATATTTTTTCCTTTCAGAAAGAAGATAAGAACAAGAGGCTCACCACGGTGATGCCGACGATGAGCTCGGCGCGGGTGATCGACGGCGGTGAAGACGGGGACGGGGTGTGACGGACCACTAAACATAGACAAATATTGAGGAAAATGGAGTTTGGAGGTCGAGCTTGGAGAGGAGAAAGCTTAAGTAGTGTGGCTCGAGCATTCCATCGAACACCTTGTGTGCATAGGAGGTGAGCTAGATCACCACCAAGCCCTCTCCCCCTCGGCCAGAAAAAAACAGAGCAGTGTGCTCTGCTCTTATGCGAGGGGGTATATATAGGCACCTCATTGGTCCCGGTTGGTGGCATGAACCGGGACTAAAGGGGAGCCTTTGGTCCCGGTTCAAGCCACCAACCGGGACCAATGGTGGTGGGCCAGGAGCGAGGCCCATTGGTCCCGATTCGTCCCACCAACTGGGACCAAAAGATCCAGACGAACCGGGACCAATGGCCCACGTGGCCCGGCCGGCCCCCTGGGCTCACGAACCGGGTCCAATGTTCCCATTGGTCCCGGTTCTGGACTGAACCGAGACTAATGGGCTGACCAGGCCTGGACCTTTGCCCCCTTTTCTACTAGTGTGGGGGTAATTTAGGTAGTAACTTAACACATCTCAAGACAATTTTGCTTATGTGGCACGTGTTTAATGAGGAAAGAGGTGCTTGTGGTAACATAATATGTTACTGTAACATAGCGCTTCCCGAGGCACAATAAGTCTATGAGCTAATAAATGAAGCCATCTATGACACTACTACTATGTTACTTTGCATTATAAAGATAGTAAATTAGACTAGTGTCATATGCATGACACTAGTATAAGTTACTCCCCACTATGACCAGCCTAAGGAGTTAAGCCACACTTAGTCGAACTCGTAAGATCTTCAACTCCCTAAATATTTTAGGAGAAGTGTTCCAACACTCTCAAAATTGAGCAACCAAAACCAACTCCTTAAATATCGGTTGCTCAGCTGCTTGCATGTCGGTGCCTCCCCCGCTGCTGCGATCCTGGCCTCCGGCGACCAATCTGCCGCCCCGTCCACCGCCGGCCGCCAAATTCTAGTGATGTTATTTTTATTTTATTTTTGTCATCTCCGGCCACTGTGGCGCACTCCCACTCGTCGTCCCTAGCCCAGGGGTGCTCCTCTCTTCATCTCCGACCACGAGTAAAGCTGCATCACGCGCAGAGGAACACCTGCAGAGAGGAAAAGTTAACCCACATGAAGAAAACTTGGAAAAGTGGCAGCCCACCAGATTCCAATTGGTCCTTGCATTGTTGAACGCTAGCTACTTCTGCACCACAGCAGAGTCTTGTTGTTTCCCTCAAAAAAAAATTCCTTGCATTCTAGACCATGCCATCATGCCCACTGGCGGAGCTAGGCAACTTCTTTTGGGGGGGCCAAACATAAATATGCACGTTTGAGGGGGCCAAAAAACTCTACTTGTCCTCATCTTTCTCTCTAAAAAAATT